AATCAACTTGGAAAAAAATATTCTTTCTTAAGAAAAGAATTTTACAATAACACGTGATAGGAATTCGATGTGATAATTATCAAGATCTCTAATTAATTTTTATACCTAATATTAATTATATTAATTATAAGTTATATTATAAATAATTATATTACTTATATTAATTATAAGTTATTATATATTTATTATAATTATATATATTATATACAAATTAATATTATATTTTATATATATGATATATTAATATAAATATTAATTCTTATATGTATTATATGATTCTTAAAATAAATATAGAAAATTAATATTGTTCTTTATAACAGTAAGATACATATTTGTATATATATGTGTGTATATGTGTTCGTTTGAGAAAGAAAAAAGTAAGTATTGAGTTTGAGTATTGGATACTAGGCGAAAAGCGATTTATCGCGTTCGCGTGACTATTTGTTCGAAAAAGTCAGTATTCCCAGATGACAATATAGAGTTCGTCTATTCGAATCAGTTATGTCTAAAGATGAAGAAGAAGAAAAAAAAAGAAATAGAAGAAGTAGAAGTAGAAGAAGAAGTAGAAGATGGTTATAGTATTTTCTCTTCGGATATAATATTTCGCGCCATATTCTCTTATTATAGATAAATTCTACGAATCTGTGATAGATAAGGATAGTAAATGGGAAATAGGAAATAGGAAATAAGATAGGATAGAGAAATAGAAAGAGAAAAATAGTGAAAACGTTTATTTGCTTACTCGTCGGGGGTGCATCGGTCTTATCCATCTCTCTTATCCAAGCTTATTCAAGGAAATCCATCGAGAAAAGCTACGTAGAAGCTTGGCAAGTAAATCTTTATGCCTCTCTGGAGACCACGAGAAAAAGTACCTACGCAAAGATACCAACACAACAAGCAAGGACCCACTAGCTATTCTCTCTTTTGAGAGATCGATCGGTATATCGATTTTTACACCTACGTTTCTATTTCTTTTTTTTCTTTTTTTTTTTGTTTATCGGAATAGACAAAGAGATATATATATATAAATAAAAAAAACGTAAGGAACAAAGTTTTATAGCGTAGGAGAAAAGAAACCAATAAAAATTCTTTATAAACTACACAATCCTACGTTATGTTTAATATTAACTTTATAAATATATACTCAATAATATACAACGGGGGCTATAAAAAGTTTAAATATATTTTTTATATACGTATTTTTATGTATAGAATATAAAAAATATTTTTATAGTATTTTATATGATATTATTGAGTTGTTAGAAAATTTCATACTGATTTGTATTCCTGGTATACTGAAATTAGGATACTGTAAATCATATTACATGCAATAACAAATTCAACTTGTAACAAATGTAAAAACCTTCTCATTGCTAAATTTACCATCAATAAAACATTACAAAAAAAAATGATTTATAAATAATATTCAACGATATGAAATTATATTGAATAATAATGAAATATTTACATATTTATAAATCGTAACGATTAACAGTTTCTAGTTGATTTAACATTAATATAAAATATTCATATTTATATATTATAAACACGTATTTCTCATATATTTATAATTTTCAAATATTTCCTTTAATTTTATCACCGAATAAATGAGGGATGAAATAAATAAAAAAGAAAAATAAAAAAAAAAAGAAAGAAATTAAAAACATGAACGTTCATTTACATCAATCTCATTTACATTTACACGAACTTTTACGTTAAATATATATTTGTATATATATTTTTGATGAATACTAAATATGTTATCAATACTTTGTCTTGTACACATATTTAAAAAACAATATTCTATACATATATACATGTTTAATATATAGGAAAACATATTATATATCGGATGGTGTATTCAAAGGGAATAGACGATCGATCGTATTCTTTACTTCTCCTTCCTTCTTTCCTTCCATTCTCTACTTCAACCCCTATATTCTCTTTCTATCTGTCTACTACCCCTGTCCTCTTCCCTCATTCTCTCAATTTCTCTTTGATTCTCTCTATCTCTTTCACTCTTAAATAACTGGTAAAACATTCTAGTTGGGTTGGACTGTTAACAGATTGCATTGCTCCTAGTTACGATGTCTGGGGATCCTGGTAATACTCTGACGTCCACGGCAGTTGGCTTTATCCTTATATCATAAATATAGTATCCTATTTGCCTCTTAACCCCTCCCCAACTCTTTCTTATTCTACTTCCACATCCACATTTACCTCTGTCTCTTGCTCATCCTCTTCAGTTTAAGTAGAATTTTACAAATGCAAAATAATTCCTGTATTTATTTGTTTTTATTTGTTTCCAGTTGAAATAATTTTCGCATATATATATTTTTTTTAGATTTCATTCCATATTTATTATTAATGTCACATATTAAAGTACCTTATTTTTTCTTCTTTATCTGTTATATTTTATACGCGTATTTTCACATACTCCATTTATTTATTTTTTTTATTAACTATTCACAAATTCGTGCATTAATGTTAAGCTTTTTTTTTTTATTCGTCATATTTCATTCAGAAATGTAAATGATATCTGTTTCATCTTTTTACGTATTCGTAAATTTAAATAATTATTTATTAATTATTATTCTTAATTCATTGTGAAACAAATGTATTTTTATTATTAAAAAATATGTTCGATATTTCAATGGTTTTTTTTGAAAGGAAGGAGATAAGATTATAGGACTTTTCTACTCGAACAATACAAGAAAGGTCATTATTCGGAAAATAGTTCAATGGATTGGTTTAATGGTTAAAGTTTAAAACGCGTGCCAAGTGAAACATATGTCTTGTGTTTATATTCGATACTATAACTGTATATACATAGTACTAGAACGATATTAAATCATTCTCGATAGTAATAGAGAGAGCAATAGAGAGAGAGAATGAATGAATTAGCGGAAATAAAAATCAAATTTGTTTCAACACTTTTACTATTTCAAATAGAGACCGAATTTTTCTCATTCAATTCAAATTTATATACGATAAATGTCATTTAAAATAAAATAAAAATATATAATAAAATAGAATTGTTTATTTGTCGACAATTTAAATTTTTGTCAAAAGTAATACTACTGCAATATATTTTTTTTTTAAAGAAAATTCTTACTCGACTCGCATTTATGTATAATAAAAGTCATTCTAAAACAAAAACAAATAATAAATTTTAAATAAAGTAAAATAATATAAATTTATCGTTGAGTATTTGGCATGTAATAAATTTATATGTAAAACAAAAAACTGTCAAGTATTATTCCACTGCATTTTGATAATATACAACACAATATGGCATATAAAAAACAAAATTATGACTTGATTCAAATTTATGTACAATAAAAGTCATTTAGAATAAAAATCAAAATATGTATATACTCAAACTAAAATAATATGATATATATATATATCATATCATTATATAACGATTTATTCGCAATCGGATTTATAATAATTTTACAATTAAAAGCAGAAAATTGTCCAGCAGAAAAATATAACAAAGTACACAGAAAAATAAAAAAAGGAAGAGAAAGAAAATGAAACAAATTTCGTGACGGGAAGAGTAAATAAAAAAAAAAGAAAAAGAATTAATTAGATACGGTGGTCGCACCCATGTGTGTCGCAAAACTGCGATATGATAATTAAGAGAAAGCGAGTTTGCGTTTTCATAATTCGAGCCATATTTATTTTTCCGAATATAACGACAATTTGAAAAAGTAAGAGAAAGAGAGAAAGAGAGAGAAATAAAAAATAAAAGGAGAAGATAAACGGACCGTCCGATAAAATAAAAAATAAAAAAATAAAAATATTTTGACATTAACTTTATAACTTTTACGATAGTCCTAACATTTCATTTCCATTAAATTCCATTCTAACGCTTTTCAATTGTCATTCATAACGTTTGTGTATATATATACACGCAAATATATATACACATACAAATATACATATATTCTTTACAATGGCTGCTATATATAAAATCGATCGTGCTTCATTGCGACATCGTTTCTACTCTAATGAACTTTTCCAACCATTCGCTTGTTTCATCTCTACCTTTCCCCCCATACATCCCCTATTTTCACCCTATCTCACCCCTTATCGCCAATCCGCAATTTAAGCGAACGGAAATGGACAAGTTGTCATTTAATTGATTTCTAATGATTCGCTGTTGCCGATGTTGCTAAACGCGAACTGTTAAAAATCGAAGAACTTTTTTTTTCTATTTCATATTATTATAAATGTAATATATAATTTTATTGTTTATACGAATTTTATATAATTTTTATTACAACATTTGGTTAGCCAATATAAATTCATTCTTATTTATTGGCTAACCTTATATTATTTTATATTATATTATATTTATAATATTATTAATCGTTGACATAATTGTGGGATAAATAAAAAAAAATGGGTTATTGGATTGACAGGGCCGAATACTCGGATTTGAATCTTTCGATTTTCAGAAGACTACATTTTAACCTTTGAACTATTCCATAAATTTCACGAAAGCCTATTTTTAATTCGAATCGAAGTTCTGGATCTTACGTGTGTATATATCGTAAACTATAATTATTATATATCATATTTATTATCATAAATTTAGATTATTATAGAATTTTTATTTGAAGTTTTTATGTTACATTATTTCTTTTCCTTTTTTCATATTATTTTATTTTATTTTATTTTTTAAAAGAGATAAACCATCATCATGATTATGGTTAGAACAAAGGATGGTTATTACAAAGGTTTGTAAATTCGATATAATGTAGGATCATTCGAGCGAAATAACAAGCTCGCTCGCTCAGTTTTCACGCTAACTTTACGATCGTTAATACAACACGGTAAATTCATCCTTATCGGAAAAGATATATTATTATCTATTATACTATAAGCAATTGTATTAAAGGATTAACTTCTATCTCTTTTTTATTTTTCTATCAATGTGAGTCATTCTTTATATATAAAAATTATTATTTTAATTGTAAGTATAAACTTACCCCATCGGGGTGATATTTTGGTACACCGGTTGGCGTTGTGGTGTTGCCACAAAATTCCGTAAGCACATCTTGTAGCTTTCTTGATGAATCTGAAATAAATCAACAAAAAATATTACAATTAAATATACAATATCGTAAACAATTATACATCCAATTATTTTGTAATAATTCTTACAATATTCAAAATAAAATTTAAGAATCAAAATAATTTCATCTAACAACAAAATTGAGATATACAAAAATTAAAAGTTTACAATAATTAAATTAAATTTCAATATTAATTAAAACAAAAGAAATAAGACATTTAATTTTTATTTCTTGGTCTTCGTTTAATTCACACAAACGATACATAATAACATTGATAATAAAAGAAATACAAAATAAAAAAGAAAACAAAAAACTCGATGAAACGTTTTTTTTTATCATAGAACAGTAGAATATTACATCGAAAAAATATAGAGAGAACGATAAATTGGCTAATAATAGGAGACCATTGGCCTACCGATTTACGTCATAATGCACTTAACACGGTGGATTATTTTGAAACGTGGCACACTATTTTCGGATCAATTGACGAGCTACCAACGATGGATCTTCGTCTCATAGAATGATAGACAACCTGCTTACGATTAATGTTGTCTGTTAAACAAAAGCAGGAAATTTAGTCTTACGTTTCATAACAAACGAAACTAAATCTTTATCGGGAGGGAAATATAAGAAAATTCATCTATCATAAATATAAATATAATAGATCAAACTAAAACTCAAAGTGATTTGTAAACGAAACGAGATAGCATGTTCTACGATTATTTTCTTAGAATCGTAATAGAAAATATAATTGAAATATCTATTTCAATTAATCATTTTTTGATCCACATGAGATAATGCTTATTTTTGTTTTATAAATAAATGTTGAGTTTTATAAAATAACATAATCAAGAATATGTGACTCAACTTAAAAAAAAAAAATAAAAGACACAGTTAATCTTTGTAAAATCTTTCATGTTTTAACCAAGTAAAAAATTATCGTTTAAACGTAAAACATATCTATGTTTTATACATATAACATACATACTACATACTACACACATAATAAAACAAATCGGTATCTGTCACAAGTGAATGATAAAAAATAATATATAAATAAAATATAAGAGATAAACGTATTTATATTTTTTATTTTGTATATGAAACATTTCTAACCGCTTGAATTTACCAGTAATTAAAAACGATAGAAAAAAACGCACAAAGAGTGTAGGAGAGAAAAGAAACATGAATTTCTTTTTTCTCACCGTTTTTAAATCGAATTTTGACATGGAAGAATAAACACGATCGCGAATTATGCTCAAAGTAGCCGATATATTCCTTGAAAAGCATTGGAACGAAACATAAATACCGTATCACGTAGCTTGTCATTTTCAATTCATGACTTTCGTCGATTTTTACCGAAGTAAATCCAAGGATTTTTAAAGAACCGTGACTGGGTATTATATAGAACACGGTTTTCTTCACCTCGATTTATTCAAATACAAAATAAGTATTTCAAAAAAATAACTAAAGCAACACAGAACTAAAGCAAGAAAAGAAAAAAAAAGAAAAAGGAAAACGATAAGGTAATCTTATCAATGTTTATTTAATTTTATGATAAATAATATTTAAAAATAACAGAATGAATAATTTAAGATATCATTGAAAAAAAAATATATAAAATAGTACCGTAAAAATAATTTAGATGTGTATGTTTTATGCGTGCGTGCATACGTAAGTGAGTGTGTGCATTGTGTGAAAGATATATTTCCATGTATACAGGTATGCTGGAAGCAAAGCTTTGTAGTGAGCCGACACAGCAAACGAATTCCCAGCTTTCACAGACAATATCGTTGGAATTACCATAATCCGATAACCAACGAGGTGACACGTTGTGACTTTTAATTGAGACCTCGACACGCTTTTGTATCGGTAATATCATTCTACTTTGTAGTGCTAGATCTAGCCGCCATCATTTCACCTACAGTTACTTTCTCGTTACAATCACTTACAATATTTTGTTACTTACAAAAATCTGCCATTTCGAGACACTTATGTAAAATTATCTTTAGGATTTTGTTCTATCTTTTCTTCTTTTTTTATCATTAACGATTGTTCATCTTTTGTATCCCGTAATAAAAATTCAAATAATATTTTTTTACGCGATTTATGTTGTATGTTTCATTCGAATTTCAATGTTTGATCAAAAAAGAAGAAAATGAGAATACGGACGGACGTTTATAGAATTTGAATTATGTTATTAAATTTTTTTATATATTATATTGAGAGAAATTTGAGTTAATAAAAGTGACTTGTTTTTTTGAAGTGAAAACTTCTTTAGAATGGGAGTGATTTGAAAAAAAATGAAACACGGCGCTGCGTAACGTTATGGTAAGCGGTGGCAAAACGGAAGTAAGAAGAAAAAAGAGACAAACGTATAGGATTAAGCCTGCGAGAAAATGAGACACAATATAGTTATACAGTTTTTCCTATTCTCGGTTTCCTCCTTATGCGCTGCTTCGTAGCCCCCACTTCTGGCTACTAAGCTTTGTATATGTGTGTTTTGTGTGCGACTGCATACTACGAAGCGTGGACTCATATTATTTCGATACTAAAACTGTTTGTAGGTAGGAGCGATAGAAGAGTAGTAGAATAAGCAGAGATAAGCGTGTAGGAAGGCGAACAAAGAATAAGGTACAAACGAACCGACAGTCGAAATAAAGAAAGAAGGTGTGTGCTCTGTTTTTTTTTTTTTTTTTACCAAACGTGCCATTTCTTTTCTATTTAAAAATGTTTCTATTTTATTGAAAAATTAATATTAAATTCTTTATTTCGCAAATATTATAATAAATAATTATGAAATATATAGAATATATAACAATTGTATTGTCTGAAATATTTTACAAAAAAGAATGATTACAAGATACATCAAAGAAAAAGAATTAGAGAACACTGTAGAATACATTAAGAACAGCTGACAAATTCCATTCAAAAGCAAGTAAATTACTGTCACATTTTTATTTTGCTTCTTCATAAAATATATTTGATTCATATAGACAAAATATGTCTATTAGTTTTAATTTTTATGTTTTTTTAATAAATTGATTAATTAATATTAATTTTAAATAATTATATAATAATATTATATACAAAGATTTGTATTGACCCAGGAATACAAAAAAAATTATATTATTAATTATAATATTTACGTTATAAAGAAATTTATGTTAATTTTTCAATAAAATAAAAACATTTTTAAAAGATGTTGAACGCCCAGCGTGAATCGGTGGATCTTACCACGGAGCTGAAATTTGAGACTCGTAGTGTACATAGTTCGATAAGCTGAGAGAGCGATACGATTCAATGCATTTTTTAGATTTTTCGTTGTTCAGATCTTTATTTAGACGAGAGTATTTAGAAAGATAAATTTGTGATCAAAAGAATAAAGACGAGATATGTTATAAATAATAAGGTTCTCGAGACAGAGAGAGAAATGTGGCAGGCTATGGAATTGAAAAAGTATTTCTCGAAAAGATCTCTATTAGATCTCTCATTACATCTGTACTAGTATCTTTGTTCAGTCTAGCAGTATTTTCCATATATTTTTTGTAACATCTTTATTTCGTCATTCCTAAACTGTTTGTTAGACAGCGCAAAAATGTAGATGAAAACGAGAAATTGAAAATCATCCTAATAAATAAAATTTTATACTTGAGTTAAACAAAAAAATATTCTATATTTACTTATTTTAAGACAAATTATATTTCCCTCGATAAGCATCTTACGATTTTGGTGCTATCTATGACTATTGCATTCAGCATTCCATTTTTATTGCTTGAATTTGGAAAAGTGTACTTTTTATCAACTATTCAACCCAGAGACCATACCGGTGCCCTTTGCTATATATAATAATAATACTATATTAAATAAATCCTACAATTATCTTACTCTTGAAACTGTGCATATGTCTCATTCTCTCGAAACTTAGTTTTTTGAAGGTTTCACTTCTAATACGTGTGATCTGCACACATGATCTTTTTTTTATTATTTCGATATCACATAGGCTCGTTAGTATTGCTTTCTTTTTCTCCTTCTTTTAATGAAATTTATAAACACACATTTTCTAAAATTGAGATTTTATTTTACACGATGATTAAATTTGTTTTATTTTATTCGTAAAAAATATGTTCGAAGAAATTCGTCTGTGTATGAAACGTGAAGCAAAAAGATTCGTATAAAATTGAATTTATTTTGTATTATTTTTTTTTTTTCAATTTTCACAAATTTGAATGTATACTTACAAGCTGCGAAATCCTGGAGCTGTTGAAATTCTGTGGGCGAGAGTTTATCCCACTGAAAGGCCATCATTAGTAATCTTTTCTTCGATATACCTCGGGACGAACGCCCGGACGGTGATCACCTTTGAGATTCATCACCTAAAACCAAATTTTAAGAAAAATAAATTTAAACAATTTGAATAATTACAAATGATCTCGATCTTCTATTCCTTTCATTTTTGAACGAAAATTTAAACAAAATTCCATAGAATACATTTTATTCAGTTATATTTAAAAGATATTTAAACAATTATTTATTTTCATTTATCATCGCGAAAATAATTTAATCTATACAAAATAATATTGCAAACAAATTTTAAATAAAAAAAAACCCTAGAAGAGAAATCAAATGAATCATTTTGTAATTACCCTTATAATTAATATTCATTCGAATTAAAATCGTATCGATGTTAAACATCGATCAATGTTAGATTTATCATCACAAATATTCCAAATTCTATAATAGATTTTATTTTAATGATAAAAAAAACATCTAATGCGTTTAAAAAAACATTTATATAAATTTATTATATTTTTCACGTAATTATTTGATCATCATCATTTATTCGAATTATAATCGCATTAATTTCTAATATCGATTTATTATCTCATTGTCAAACATTCGAAACTAATAAATTAAAAATAAATAAATAAATAAAAAAAAAAATACAAAAAAGAGAGAGAAAACGAATAAAAAGGGAAATAGAAGAGAAAAGATAAATCGAGTGAATAAAAGAATCAACGATTTCATTTTGACGTAGGATAAAAAGGGAATTCTCGAAATAAAGGGAAAGTGTATTACGGTAGTAGTAGTAGTAGCAGTAGTAGTAGTAGTGTAATAATAGTTGTATTGGAATAGAACGATCAGTCGAGTTAACGTGGATGGCAAACTAAATACAAGTAGAAAATACTTCTTATCGTAAAGAACGTAAAAAAAAAACAAAATAAAAAAAATAAGATAAGAAAAAAAAGAAAAAATGCAAGACCGTATCTCTGAGTACACACCGGTCGCGTTGAAATGTTTTTGCAAGTATTTCTTTGCGTCGCTGGTAAAGCTATCGATTCGATTTTGCCAGTTTGAACAAACGAAACGATAAATATTCTCGGAAATACTAGCTACAATTACCAATCTCGCTCGAGTGAAGCAATAAAATCACCAACAATGGTTATACACGAGACAAAAGAGTACGGAAAAAAAGAGAGAAAAGAGAGATTGTATCAAAATTTTAAATAAAAAAATAAAAAATTTATGTGAAACCCGACGACAATTTGCGTAAGAATTAAAAAATTGTTTCAATCTCGGTTTGAGAATTATTATTAAAATCGAAATGTCAAATGGACAGATAAACGACAAAAATATTCTTTAAAAACGGAACGTTTCGTTTAATTATATTAAAATTAGAAAAGAGAGAGAGAGAAAGAATTTTAATGAAGGTATTTAAATTTGTTATTGTTGTTAAATAAACGATTTATATACGTAACGCTTTGGTTTAATGTAAATAATAATTTGTCAATATTCGATATAAAATATATCAAGATTAAATATATATATATATATATTAATATTTCATTATAAATACCGTGGGAGATTTACTGAAAATACTCTATCAATAATAAAATAGAAACAGTTATCAATTTTCATATAATCGACCATTAAATAAATATTGAATCTTAAATAATAACGTTGAAATGAATTTTGATTGATATATATAGTTAAACTTTTGAAAGTATTCGAATTGTTCAAGGAAACACAATTGTTCGTATAAATGAATTTGTTGTATAATAGAACGTTAGCCTTTTCGTTACTGTAATTATTTTTCTAGCCATTTATATTCTCTGACAATTCTAATTTAATTATTCTGATTTTCAGTTCTGAGTTTCATTTTAAATACGGAAAAAAGTACTTGTCAGGTTTTTATTGACAAAAGAATTCATAATATTAAAAATTAAAAATCTAAAAAATATTTCAAATCATTTTGGTATAAATATTGTATATAAAATATGACAAACATTTGTTGAAATTTTACATTAAAATTACGAAAAGAAAATTTACTTAGAATCGTACCTAGAAAAATTCGATCTTATTTCAAATAAAATATAATATTTCAATCATCACGTAATAAAGTTACACGAGTAGTTACGAATTTACACACTCGAGTTGAATTTTAAACGAGATGGATGGACATTACAAAAAATAAAAAAAATTGTAAAAAAAAGGTAGAGAAACAACTCTTTTTCTTGTTGTTTGTTTCGTTGTTTTTTTTTTTCTAAAGCTTCGCATGACATCATCGTATATAGAATTGATCTCTATTTTAACAAGAGAGAAAGAGAAAGAGCGTGAATCGAAATTGCAGAAGGATATTCGAATGTGGAATCGAGTGGACCGTGCACATCGCTTTTATTTCACGCACGAACGACCGAAATTGAACGGCTTCGAGAAGGATTAGAATGCCATAAACGAAGCTTCATTCTTTTCTTCTATCTTCGTCTCTTTCTCTCTCTCTCTTTCTAGCTCTTTCTCTTTCACCCTTTCTCATTCATTCTCATTTTTACGAATACGAGTTCACAAAGCACGGATTACAAAAGGGGTTCTTCAATGGTAACCACGATCCTTTTTTTATTTAGTCCTTATTGTTTATCGAATAATTATTATCACTCAATTATTATATTCATCGTGTCAAATAAATATGATGAAATTCAATATTCAAAGATAATCTCTGAAATTACTTAATATTCAATTAATTGTTTTTCGTGTCCATAAAATAAAATATATGAAAACTTAATATTATAGAAAAATTGGACAAGTGAAAAAAAATTAGAACATATTGTTTTGTTCAACAAGATCAAATAATCATGTTCATCAAATTCAAAATGTATCTACATATCAAAACAATATGTTCTGATTTTTTTCACTTGTCCAACTTCCCTATGATATATAATTTCTTAATTAATATGATCAAAAATATTGAATGAATTTTTTTTATAAATCTTATATATGAAGATATTTTTTAAAAGAAGTTTTCGATCGATTGAACGAATTTTTTTTTGGGAAAAAAAATTTATTGCTGATCGAATAAAAATCTCTGAACGAAATTACTTGGTTTCTTTGTCCTACAAATCAAAAGGAAAGAAAAGAAAAGAAAAAATAAAAATTGAGAGAACAAGGTCGAGTCATGAAAAGAATTTTGAAATGGAAAAGAAAACAGGGATGGTAAGTGTATTTTTTTTTTTGTATTTTTTCTTTTGGGGTTTGTTTTTTTTTCCAAGCAAACACACGTAGCACGTTGTTCGTACTGTTGTTACTACTAACGAGCAAGTTGTGCACGAAAATTGGAATAGTTATTTTTCTTTTCGCTATTGTTGTTATGATGATGATGATGATGATGATGATGATGATAATTTATAAAAATATTTATTAAGAGAATAACAAAAAATATGCAATAATTCAGATAAAATAGACTTTTGACAGAAATGAATCCTTTATGTGAATGAATATTACATTCAGGATGCAATTTGGACAAAGTAAGATTGCATTAAGTTAACGTTTTGAGTAGCGAACAAGTTCGAAGCTATTCTTGTTATCTATGAGAGTAATAATACCTACTATCCGCCATTATCATCGTGTTCATAGGACGAAAGTACTAGATAGAACCTATTAACGTGAGTATATTAACTAATATACATTTTCTGTACATGGATATATATATATATATATATATATATATATATATAT